ATGTAAAAATCTCACAGGCACAAGATCGCGATACAAAATATTTTTATTAAGTTTTCAAGTCTACATTTAAATTATTTTTTAAATAGTTTTTTCAAAATCTCTTTATTATTTAGTTTTTTATTATTATTAAAATATCTTGAGAAAAATTATTTGCGTGTGCACATTAAGGATAATATAAAATTTTTATTCTTTGTTTTGTTTATTTAAATATCCTTGCATCCGGCCGGTTTGTTTTTTTTTTGTATAAAATAAAATTTCAATGAATTTATTTTTTTTTCTGATTTTACTAAATTTTTTTAATGTCATTATTATTGTTACAATAATAAACCACATAAACATTTTAAGTACCTTGAAAAAAATAAGGACACTTTAATTTGAAAAGGATATTTTGTTTTTATTATTAAAAAATACAAATGGAATTCTTTCAAAATTCTAAATTTATATTTAAAAAAAAAGCTTAGACTAAAATTATCTTTAGTTTTGTTGTAGTTTTGTGCAGTATGAATAATGTGGATGGTATAAAATACTAATACATACCGATATTATTAAGTTTTTTTTTAATTTAAGAATGAAATAAAATAATAAGAAGTAATGTTCAGAATAATTTTGTTAACCTTCAACCATGCTTAGTTGAAGTTTAAAAGTGTTTCTGTTTGTATAGGGTCAAAATTGATATTAATAGAAGAATGGGAAGAATGTTTCCTTTTTTCTCGTACTTTGTTAATAGAATAACAATGTACGCTGTGAAAAACTTTTTAAATTTATTCAGCGCCGGTTGTGCGATATATATGCAAAGTCAGAATTTGCAATTAGAGCCAGTAAAGAGGGGCGCCACTCAAGAATTTTTTAAAAATTTTTTTCTTTCCATTTATAGTGAAATTAATATGATATAACATGTACTTATTTACAAACATTGCAAAACAAAAAGCTGAAACTCTAATTTCATCTTTTAATTCTATGACCATTTTTGCATTCAGTATGTTAAAGTTACAAAACAATGATGTATTATGCGTAATGTCCAATATTTACTGCACATTGTTCTTTACTTTAACTCATTACTGCGGTGGCATTTTTTGGGAACTGCGTAAATCGCCGCATAAATCAGAACCGGGACTGAATTTACTACAATTATAATAGAAAACGAATTTATTTTATGCAATACGATTTTATACTCTTCTCTAAATTTAGTACCCGAATCTCTAAATTAAATTATGCTTTACTTTTAATAATTATTTGAACTTTAAAAATTTGACAATAAAATTAAAATGTATTCAACTAAAAATGTATTCAACTTAACTAATATAGATATATATAACTGTTAATATCTATATATAACTGTTAATAATATAGATATATAACTGTAATCCAAAAAGGCAAGAAAATATTAAATGTCTATTTAACATTAGGCCATATAGGAAAGTATAAAATATAAGAGAATAACATTTTCTACATAAAATATAGAGAAAATTTATTTAATTGTGTGAAAAAAAAATTTATATTTCTCCAATAATATTACACATATACACAATTGCTCTTAAATTGAGAAATTCGAAGCATGAATAATGAGAGGGCTAGCGGTGTAATTTTCAATATTTGAAAGGTGTTCTCTTATAACTGTGTTATTATTTTACTCTATAGTCTATACTGTATAGGGTTTAAAACAAGAATTCTGCAATAAGACAATATTAATTTACATAATGAAATACACAAGTATACAAGTACACAATTTACACTAAAAGTTATTTGTCGTAAAAACAAACATATTTTCCGATTTTCTGTTGAATTTTACTTATAATTTTTTTGTTTTAAATCTCTAAAATCCTATTTTTAAAATGATAAGAATAATTTTATTTATTATATAGTGCTCTAGGATTGGAATTTACAATAAATATCTAATAATAATCCTCTTTCCCTGAAATAAAGAACTCCGAAAAAATATTTTTTGGTTTTTTATTTGTGCTTAAGTTAAAACATAAATTGTTTTAAAAAAAAATTTTTTTAATTTTCACGTTTTTCATCTTATATGTATATTCCGATTAATAATAATTTTTTGTTTTTGGAAATTCGATTTTATATGAAAATTTCCCTATTTTCGTTAAATACAAAATTTTTATTCGGTCTATATGAAAGAATTCACTCATATCCTCGATTTCATTGATCAGCGTCATACTCTTAATTGTATTATTTATTTTTTTTTTTCATTTTAAATTTTGGAATGTATTTTTGTATTTTGTAATAAAAAATGAAGAAAATAAAAAAAATATAATTATATATTTTAATAATTATTATGTTAAATAATTAAAAAATAAATGTGTTTTGAATTTTTGTATTTTGTAAACACTTTAAATGGTTATTTTTTAACTTTGAAATTTTTAAAATATTTTATAAATATTTATTTATTTATTTTTATTTCGTATATAATTTGTTATCAATTATTATTAATTATTTAGAAAAAAGAAAAAAATATAGCATGAAAAAATAATTTTTTTTGTTATTCTATTTCCTTTATTTATTATTTGTGAAAACAATATTGATGTTAATTCAAACAAAAAAAAAAATAATAAATTTATTTAATATTTTATTTAATATTTAATTTATTTTTTTTTATAATTCAATTAATATTCCTTAATTTAAATCTAAAATGTTCAATTTTATATTTAATTTTATAAAATTTCCGTTAAATATAGAATTTTTTTTTCTTATATAAAATTTAAAGCTTTCGTTAAATAATTTTTTAATTATGTTAAATTTTTTTTTACGAATTTTATTTATTGTATTTTTTTATTCATTTTCGAATTTATATAAGCTCTGGTTATGAAAATAAGTTTCGTTAAAAGTTTCGTTAAATTATAAAATTTCGTTAAGTTTTTTTTTCGTTAGGTTAATTTTATTAAATATTATATTTTTCAATTATATAATATTTTGATCAAATTTGGACTACAAATATTACATAATATATGATTTAATTCTATTTTATTAAAGTTTCGTTAAATATTGTATTATTTATTTATTTTTTTCTTAAATAAATTAAAATAATATTAAATTTTTAATGTTAAACATAAATATTTTTTCTTATCTTACTTTTGTTTTCGAAATTAAATATCATTTATTAAAAATTAAATTTTATTTTAAATATAATTTTTTTAAATTTAATTTGAAATAATTTTTTTTTTTATTTTTGTTTCTTAAGGATTTATTAAAGATTTGTTCGTTTTTTTTTCAAATATTTTTAAAATAAAAATAATTTTTTTACTAAATATGGAACAATATGTTTTTGATTTTTGGTTCCAGAATTAAAGAAAATAAGACAAAAACAAAAAAAATAAAAGAAGAAATTAATATAAAATAATAAGAACAAATTTATACATATACATATATATAAATTTATAAAACATATGTATATTTGTATGTATAAGCAAAATATGATATAAAAATAATATAGAAAAAAATTTGATTTTTTATATTTTAATATAAAAATTTTTTTTTAAAAATTTCAAATAATTAATTTCAATAATTATATTTAAAATAATATAAAGATGTTTTTCATATTTACATACATATATGTAAATATATACGAAATATGTGTATTTTCATAATTTATAAGTGTACATAAATAACATGCTCTTAATTAGAACTCTAACAGAGCACAGCCTTGCTTTTCATTCGTTTTAATCGTGAAAAATTTTATTAAAAATTAGAGTCTTACATTAAAGAGCATTCCATATTTACTTATTACTAATTATTTACTTTATTACTAATAGTATATTTCGAATACGAAGTAAAATTGCAAAATTGTCTTTATTAGTTTTTAAAAATCCTAATTAGACAATAACAAAAATGGAGGAAAACGACCATTTTTTCAAAATTTTATTGTATTTTTTTTTTAAATATTTTTTATTGAGAAAATTAATTTGTAAAGCTACTATAGAAAACCTTTCAATATATTTTCTTCCTAGCTCGTACCTCTATTAAAGCAATCTAATTCTTTAAAAATCCCGCAAAATTTTTTAAAATTTAAGAGGATGCCATTAAATTCGGTTGTAATACCCATTTCTATTACTTTCTAGTAATTTTTACTATATTTTATTTCGAAGTAATTACAAAATTTACCATTTTACTTTGGCTTTTAATTTAACTTAATTTTTTTAAAAAAAATGTTGCCAATTTTCATTGTCACATTTTAAAATTAAATCTAAAAGTGACAATTTTGGCAAGAAATTCATAACTTTGATAAATGATGAATACAAAAAAAAAATTTTTTTTTTTTATTTAAAAATTGTGAACTTCTTTTCATATTCAACTACTTAATTAATGGTTTAATTGTTAATTTATATGAATGAAACTTTCGCAAAAAAAGCAAAAATTAAGAGCAAAATAAAAAACTAAAAAAAAAAAATTAAAATTTGCACTGAAAATTTCGCCTTACACTAATAATTTTTCATTAAACACAATGATATTTTTAATAAAAATACTTTTATACACATATACACGTATATTTACATATATGTATTGGAAAAACATGAAAAAAAATTATTTTTCTTTAAATTTATAAAAATTTTCACTTTTATTTGAATTTTCACTAAAAAAATTTTTTTTTCTTTTTTATTTTATGATTTTTTTCTTTTTCAACATTTTTCTTATATAATATTTGTGTCGTGTTGAAAAATTTTCTGCAATGAATCCTCGTTGATTGTCATCAAATTCATTAACTATATACAAACATATATACATGTTTTTATGCTGCTACTATCTACTTCAATGAAACTTCAATGATTTTTCATGGTATTAAAATTACAAAAAAAAAAACAACACAAAAAATTTAATAATGATGGGGAAAAAAATAAAATTATTTATCAATGCTTTGTCTACAAATACTATCACATGTCATGGATTTAATATTTACGAAAACAAAAAAACAAAAATTAATGTTACACTTACATGTATATATATATATATAAATCGTTTGTATTAAAAAATGACTGCATTGTCGGAAAGTTTAGCTCTGGTATTGAAGGAAATCCAACAGTATTTTATCGACTTATGCCAGGTTCAACAGCACAAACAAATAAAATGCATACATTCTATCTGCAACAGAGACCGGATAATGGTGATACTTGGGCTGATATAAAAGTTAATCATCCGCTGGATTTTGAAAGTATAAAAGAATATAATCTAACCATAAGAGTTGAGGTAAGTTGCACAAATATAAATACACTTATATAAATTCTGTTTTTTTTTTTTTAATCCTGTATTACATAACCCTTTTATATATATATATTTTTAAATATATATTTGATATATTAATTATATTAACGTTATATATAATATGCATAAAAATACAAAGTGTTATATAATATGAAAATATTTGAACGTATAAGAGGAAGAACGGCAAAAAAACAAAAAAAAAAAAACAAAACACAACACAAAGCTTTAATTAATTATTTGGCTTTAGATATGGTGTGGTGATGGTGAGGGAAATTTTTTAAATTTTTTTTAATTTTCACTCAGTTTAAGGAACTGAAATAAATGAGAAAGTCAATTTTGTAAAAAAAAAAATTTTTTTTTTTTTTTCGTTTCATATTCCAAGCTATCAAGGACTCTTTTTTTTTTGTTATATTATTATTTCCTTGTTTTTCTTTTTAATCTTATAAAATATTCATTATAAATGTCAGGAACAATGAATGAATTTAATAAGAAATTTTGAGATAAGAATGAAAATGTTACACTTTATGCTATGAAAATATAATTGTTAACTATGGTGCTTAATTATTTTGTGTACTTACTCGTACATACATATGTACATTGGCGTGTATAGCGTGCTGGTCATTAAAGGAAGGATTTTTTTTTTCAAATTATATCTTACTTAAACCATCACTGTTCTCGAATCACGATTATTATTATTTTTTTTTTATTTTGATTTTTTTATTTTGAATATATTGGGGTTAATTAATTTTTGTTTCCTCTCTGACTTTTCAGTTTAAACTTAAAATCAGTTCAACCTTAAGTTGATTCTTTAATTACTATTGAAATTTTTTTTCAAATTTAATTAATATTTATAGTGATAATTGAAATTTATAGAATTTAATATCGATTTTTTAATAAAAATTCTAATTTGTATGTTACTGTTTAAAAAATAATATATAAAAGGGAATTGATTTAGATTTTAGAAGAAAAAGTGAAGAAAAGTGAAGAGTAAGGTGTATGAATATTTCATGATATACTTTAATTAGATTTTCTTGAAATCCTTTCCACATGGCTGGTACACATATGTACCAGTAAACTATTAAACTATTTGAAAACCGGGTCAGAAGCATTAACTTTTTGAGTTTGGCAGATACAAGATCGTTTAAAATTATTATAATACCCTTTGAGCAGTTAATAAAATGAGTTTTGCAATTCCATAATTGTATTAAAAGCTGATAATTTTATTAAAAGTTATTGAGAGTTAAAGAAGATTCAAATTTAATTCTCGAAATTTTATTGCAATTTTTTTGTATGTTACCAAAAATAATTTATTTATATATATTATTCATGTAGAACAAAAATTTTTGAAAATTATTTTTTCTGTTTTCGAGGACCCCAATATCAACAAAGGCTATATACATTATCTTTATATAAAATTACAATGTATAGATATATTTACATACATGGCGTTATTACTTTCTTATAATAACAAATTTTTAATAAATTGAAAGAAAAAGTTTGATATTTTATTTATTGTTCTAATTTGTTGTTTTTGGGGTCCTCGAAAACAGAAAAAGTAATATGATTATTTTTGATGTTACTAAATGAAAATTTAGAGAATTTGAACTTTCCAATTAGGAATAAATTTAAAATATTTAGCTTTTTAAAGAAATTATAGGGATTTAGGTTAAATATTTTGCAATTATAGCACTAAACTAAATAAAGAACAAAAAGTACAATTCAAATGTATTGAAATGTACGATTGGAGTTGGAAAATTTACGAAAATTAAACCATTTTCATATTATTTCTTTTGTAAAGTTTCTGGAAGTTCTATTCATAATTCTAAATTTAAAAAATTTCACACTTTCTATGAGAATTTTCATTAAATATATTTTTTCTGCAATATGGAAAATTATTTGGTAAATAATTAATTTTCATTAAAATATTAAAATATTTAAATAATATAAAACAGTTTTTAAAAATAATGTAAATGCTAGAAAATATAAATAATTTAAAAATTTATAAAAAAATTGTCGGTATAGTTTTTAAACATTTAATTTAAAATACCACATATGGACGATATTTAAAACATTTTATCATATTCTCAAATATTTTTTAATATTTTTTAAATTTGTGTCAAACGTTTCCCTACTGTACCTATGTATGATCATGTATATATAATGGTATTTAGTCGGAAAAATAATCACTCAAGTGAAAATCCTTATATTTTAACAAAAAAAAAAATATCAATTCATTATAAGTTTGTGCATTAATATGGGACAGTCATGGTAATTAGCACAAATAGTATAAATTTTTTTTTAGGTCCTTTACTAATACTCGTATACTATACGTCTCGAATATATTATAATAGCGATATAGATACATTACATGTACATAATCTCTAAATTCATAAAAATTGTAGTGTTTGCTAAAATTATTCGAAAAAAAATTGTGTTTATATTTCAGCAATTCATATATTATGTATAGACAACCAAAATTTTAGAAAATTTTTGCATAAAATGGGCTTTTATATTCAGTCCTAAGCATAATATGAAATATTCTCACATTAAAATTTTTTATTTAAATATGACTATAGTTAAAATATTTATTTAGAAGAATATAAAATTTAAAATTTTATAATAATTAAATTATTAAATTGAGAAAATTTGGTTTATAAAGTTTTTGAATTGTGAATTTTTTTTATTGCTGGTTTTAATAAAATATTTGTTTAATACAATCTAAACTAAATTTGTCAGAAAATCGTTGGATTAACGCACTGGTCTGAAACAAAATCATAAATTTATGCTTGAGAATTAAACGTTTTATACAATATGCCTTAAATATTTTACTTGAAAAAACAATATTTACTTTAAAAAATTAATTTTCTACGAAATTATCGGAACAAACAGAAAAAGTAAGAATATTTGTTAAGGAAACTGGAAGAAGGGGAGGCTTGTTTTGGGGTGGCGGGCGGGCTTGTGCAAAAGGCCGAAAAGGAGCGCTGGAAAGACGAGGGAGCTGCTGACTTTGAGCAGGGGGATTTCAGGTTTGCGGTAGGCACTTTGATGGAACACTGCTTATTCGAAAAAATAACTAGGAGACTGGGCACTTCCTCATCGGATACTTGCCAGGGATGCCAAGATGTTGGGGTGTTGAAGGATGTGCATTATGTACTGTGTGAGTCCTCGCTCTGATGCGGAGACGGAAGCGCTTTTTCGGAGTATATCGGTTCGATGGATTGGAGGACCTCTCAAAGGTAGTTGTTTGTGATCTGCTGGTCTTTTTCAAGGGACTTCAATTGATTAAGAGGGATGGTGTGTGCTGTAGAGGGACGCCGATGAGCCTTTAGCTGGCCTAGTGCCTAGCCCCTCTCTAAACTAATCTAAACTGAACAATATTTGTAAACGAAATTGTTTGAAAGCAGTCATTATATGAGTCAATTTATTTATATACTGATTAGTGCCATATTAATGCTCAAACCCTATTTCATTGTAAATATAGACAATGTATTTACATATTTAAAATTAAAGATAAACTTTATTGCAAGTTTTTTCACAATGTATTCCAACTCGATACCGGATGACTACATCACATATACATTATGTCTGTGTATAAAAGAACTGATACTCGTATTATACAGAACGGAATATTATAATACATTACGAGTATAACATTATATAAATGATTTTTTACGAAAAATTTACGCCATCTGTTGGATTATCCTTTTTCTAAAAATATGCATAGAACATACACACTAACTTGTATATTTAAAGATAAGTATGTACAGAGTGATTTTGTAAGGTGTACAATATTAAATGCCTTCGTTTAGATAGTTAAAAATAAGTTGAACTTTTGTTTGCAAGTAATAATTATGAAAGCTGAACAATTTTCAAAGTAGAAGAATTTGAAGAAAATTTCTCAAACTTATACTTGTGATAAGTTTTTTAACCTTATACTTGGGATTGCTCTGCTTCACTAGTAATTTTTTAAAAATTGATTGTAATCTTTCATGATTTTATTTCTTAATGGGAAAAACCCTCTCTAAGTTACAGTTAGTAATAACAAAGCCTCTTAGTAACAAACGGTAAAGTAATAACAGAGAGTCTTTCCAAATATTTTAAGCTCGGTCTGCTGTGAAATTTTGCCACCTTTTTCATACTTTTCCAGGCAAAATCAGCGAATTTCGGCTTACATTTTACCCATGCATTTCGGCTGCATACATACCAATCAAAACAGTCAAATCGAAAGGACGGATGTAGTCGGTTTTTGGCAAACTCTTTTGTATTTTGGCCCAGCTATCAATATTGTTTATGCACTTAAACGGAGACACCATGTCTTCTCCTATACATATGTATTTCTACGAAGATGAAATTTTCATTTTTCAAAAATATTTCTTCTAAATTCTAAAATGATATTCTAAGAAAGAGAGAATCTAATATTTCTTGGAATTATTTCATCCTTATATTTACATAATTATATTAAACTATTTACCAAACTATTTCGCATTTTGCTATATTTGTTTTTTTGTGTAAAAAATATGTTAATCGGTTTTGTCGGGCTATTCTGTAATATTTATTTAAACATAATATTATAATTTTAAAGTGAGGAATATATAAGTTATAAGGATAAAAAAAATTAAAATTTGGAATATTAGAACTGCTGGATAATAAAGAGAGGAAGAGAATTGACAGAGAAGAAGATAATTTAGTATGTAAGAAAATATTTTTATTATTATAACATTTTTATAATAAATGAAATTTGTATGCCTATATATTTGTATAATATTCGAATATCCTTCGATAATGAAAATGTCAAACTAACGAAAACAAAATATAGGATGTATGTATATTTTTTGTAGATATTTTAATGAAATCATTTTTAAAACAATGGAAAAACCATATGCTGTTACAGAAAAGCGCAAAGAAAAAAGAAAAAGGTTTCACTTTTTCTGATTTTTTAAATTTTCCTAAAAATTTTCTATTGTTTTATCAATAGTTCTCATCTT